CATGTTCCTGTGACACAGCTTTGATTACAGAATGCGAACTGGTACACCGCAGCTCGGAAAGATATCGACATCCTCGAAAATATGCAACACAGTGATAAGAAGATCGCCGATAAACTTAAAAACCTACCGTATCAGGATAAATTGAAAGCATATGACTTATTTCAACTATCTTATAGGCATTAAAAGTGAAGTCAGCCTTGGGCACTGTTGATTGTACTTATTCATGCCTATCTTCAGAAACCGCAGGACTGCTTAGTCTCGCAGGAAAGAATCACTTACGCGATCGCCAGTGCAAAGTCTAATCGAACGAACGCTACTGGACTTGGAAAATAATTCATAATCTAAGGCGTAGTTTGACCATGAAACTTGCAACCAGGTAAGATGGTAGTGGCCGACCGCATTTTTCGTACTTAAGAGAAAAAATGCCCAATTTTGGAATTCAACCCCATTCACAGCACGATTGTTCACAGTCAGTTTTTGAAAGCAGTCAGTGGTTGGCAATACTTTCTTTGCCGAATGGCAGTGAAGGGCACTATGTCCTAAACGCATACTTAGAAAGGCTTACCTTTTCAAAAATTCAAGCAACACGCTTCCGAACATCCAGGGTTGGACTGGTGTCGTTCTAAAAACTAAATCATTCCCCTTCTGAGACGTGACAATAGTTATTCGTCATTTTCCTCAACGACATACACCTGGACATTTAATTTCATTTATTAAATGCCAGTTTACGGGCAGTGTCAAGGGAAGCGATTAAACACAAATCCGAATGGCAGTGAAAAAAACTCCTAAAGAATAAAAATATATTTGATGGTGGTTTTTATGCTTTGGAGGGTTCAGGAGAAAAAAACTGCTGGCGGTAGATTTTCGACCGTCAAGAAGGGGGGGGGGGGCGGAGGGGGTTGCACGGTATCGGAGATTATCGGACGTCAATTCCTTTCATGAAGTTGGGGATAGTCAAAGTAGAGACGTTGAGGAACAGATGGTGAGACCGGCCATAGTGTTCAGAGACCACAAACGCCATCGCTACGGTAGAGTCGATCAGTGGATTCCGCACCCAAAATTTGTGGGAGCTTTTCTGAATGCAAAAATCAAGTAATAGTTCTCTTAAATAAAGGATAATTTTGCAGAGTTTTCACACTCATTGGTAGTTTATTCCAAATAGCAATTGCATTTACAGAATAGGACCGACGATATTTACAAGCACGTGCCAGAGGCAGAAATAAGAAGACCTCACGGTGACTGTTACGTCGTGGGTGGATATGATGTCTTAAAGAAGTGAGTGGGTTAAATGTGTGATTATATAAGAGTTGAAATAGCAAAAATAGTCCCTTTTGTAATCTACGAAACCATAAAGGAACAAAGCCCGTAAGCCGGCGACGTTCTTGGTAAGACAAATTTTGGTGTTCCGCGGCTTAAATTCTCTTGGTAAAAAAGTGTTGAACGGATTCTATTTTCTTCCGCTCAGTAGCACGCATGAGGCTAAATAAAAACGAACGGTATTCCAGACCAGGTCTAACGTACATGTTGTAAAGGCGCATTCTGATGTCCCTAGTTTTAAAGTTTCCGAGGATAAACACGGTCGTTCTGCGTTCTTTGGAGACTATCAAGGCACAGTGCTCCGAGAGATTGAGACTCTTGGAGTATGATATGCCCAGATCCTTAATAACCCTGGGCACATTTATGGAGTGACCTTCAATATTTAGTTGAGGTTGGTGGTCGTCGCCAACCACCATGACATGATGATGTTCGAGTAAAAATTTTAAAAGCCGATGCAAAAATCATTTTCCCATCCCTCTTGAAAGTGAAACCTATCTTCCTTTGTGGAAGAAATCACTCATTTTGCCCCCTCCCAGCATGGCCAGTCTACGTCATTTGATGGCTTTCGGCCAATAAACACCCTGTCCACAGTTCCGACAATTGTAGAGACATTGACGAAAGACAAGTTGATATCTCGCTTAATAGAGAATCACCTACTGAGTACTGCTCAACAAGGATGTCTCAAAGCTCGGTCATGTGACACCTGTCAGCTCTCTCTCCCCTTGACCATGTTCACCAATCTAGGGACAATGGTTGATCATGTTGCCCATGCTGTTCTTCTCTTGAGAATGTCCTCTTTCGGCATAAGTGGCAAACTTCTGAATTTGATATCCTCTTACTTGGGCGCTCGTACACAACGAGCTGAGATTTCCAATGCTATCTCCAACCCCACCTGTGTGAGGAGTGGAGTCATTCAGTGTAGTGTACTCGGTCCGCTTTTATTTTGTCCTTTTGTTAACAGTGTACCAGATTTATTTGAGAGTGTAAAGCCCTTTATGTATGCCAATGATTTGAAAGTTGCATATTGATATACGCCGGCAGGCCGCGACATCGTCCACGAACTCGTAAAGAGTGAACTTTAAGCCTTTGCTCAGTGGTGCTACACATAGGCCTTTCTCCTTCTTGGCGTAAATGTTCAGTCATGGTGGTTGACGATGACCACCAATCCCAAATAAGTATTAATGGTCACGACACAAATGTGCCTGACGTTATTAAGGGCTTAGGTATAGCATACTCCAAGAGATTCAATCTTTCGGAGCACTCCGCCCTGATAGTCTCCAAAGCACAAAAAACGACCGGGTTTATCCTCCGAAAGTTTAAAACCAGCGATATTAGAATGCGCCTTTATAACATGTAGGTTAGACCAGATCTAAAATACTGTTCATTTTTATTTACCCTCTTGCATGCTGTTGAGCGGAAAAAATAGAATCTGTCCAAATTTTTTTACTAAATGAGTTTTTACCCCGGAACACTGACATTTGTCTTACCAAGAACGTTACCGGCTTACAGGCCTTGATCTTTTATTTCTACTATTTGGGCTTTTATATATTCTCACCTTTACCCCACCCACTGCTTTAAGGCATCTTATCCACCCCCGCCCGTAGCAGTCACCGCGAGGTCCTTTTATCTCTTCCTCTGGCGCGTACCGCTAAAGTTCATCGGTCCCTTTCGGTAAATGCATTTGTTTTTTGGAATAAACTACCCGGGAATGTGAAGAGTATGCAAAATTATCCTTTGTTTAAGAGAACTATTACTCGATATTTGCATTGAGAAAATCTCCCACAAATTTTGGGTGCTGAATCCCCTGATCGACTTTACCTTAGCGACGTCGTTTGTAGTCTCTGATATCTATGCCCGGTCTCATTAGGGACAATTTATCTTGTCAACAGTAACAGCTGTTCTTCAGTGCTTCTGTTCGGACCAGCCCCAAATTCATGAAAAGGATTGGCGACTGATAATGCTCGATACAGTGCTATCCCTCTCTTTCTCGACTGTCGGCATTTGATGGTCAGCAGTTTTTTTCTCTTGAACCCTCCAGACTATAAAAACCCCCCATTAACTTTATTTTTCTCCTTTTTAGCGGGCGTTTTTTCCACTGCTTGCCGGATTTGTATGTGACGCTTCCCTGGCAATGGCTGTAAGCTGGCATTAAATACAATTATTATTATGAGCGACTCTTCCTGCTGCAGAGCTGTACAAAACGCAATGAACTGTTTGCCAAAACTCTCACTTGTCTTCTTGTGAGAATGAAGGTTGCAGGGATGCATCACTGCTCGCGTCGCCTTTGACTGTTTCACTATATCCTCGTAAAGGGTTGTGTTCTGAGTGAGGTGCTATGGAAAAAAACGACGCTTGGTACAAAGGGACTGGCTGACTACGACCATGTCGGCTAGAAGACGAAGCCGCTAATGCAAACCCAGAGGCACGTGCTGGGAAAGCAACAATGGGCTGTAGATTGCAACGTCACAATTCGTAAGAGGTGGCACCCAAGGAGGCAAACACTACTGTTGATACGCAATGGAGTCGATTATGGAATGTCTTATACCCCACTCTCCTTGAAGTCCTCATTCACGAACACTTTCAGCACCAGGACGGATTTGATGACATAAACTGCAAAATAGGTACTCTCTCTGCGAGAGTAGCTGGCCCCACAGGTCTGCGTCAATCACCGACTCAAGGTCAAAAAGCGGTTTTCTTTCCATGGGCAGATGGGACAAGCCTGAGTGGCTCGAAATTCTGAAGATATAGGAAGGTACAAAGATCGCACTGAAGTATATTTGTGATGCCGGCTTCCTCAAAGCCAAGAGGACTGTGTTGCTGCTCAGCTTCGAAGGAATTACAGCGTTGCCGAAGAAATGCCAACTTCCGAAAAGCTGAACTATACAATACATCGGGTCCTTCCGTCGGCATGGCCATCGACGGACACACTAATAAAATATAGCTCAGACCACCGTTCTCTCTGGTCTTAGGAAAACAATAAAGCTGTTAGGCAGACGTCTACCTGAAAACCCACCGGCACTAACACACTACCAAATGAAATTCACAATTATGTTAGCATTTATTTCGCAGTCTGAATCATCCTGATTCTTGGCGTGAAATGGCTAGAACTTAATTTAATTTAATCAGCAACCATGGCCATTGCGTTACGTTTCATCACTGTAGCCTTCCGTTATCTATCTACTCAAATTCCTGGTAGTTGCTTGCGGAAGGGGAAGGCTGCGGTCTTATAGAACATATCAACGATTTTTGTCGTTCATCCAACTGATTTGGAGGATTAAAATTGAAAATAGCTACGGATTGCCAGGCAAAAATATGCAAGAGTTAGAATAAACCCATAAAAATATAATTTTGAGACAAGGCGTTGCTCCCAAAGAGCCACAGTACTTTTAAACAGGAGGAATGACAGAAAAGTTTAACTAGAACTAGCCATTATCGAAGTCCCTCCAAAACTATGTAGATGATGCTAGTCACCCCTATGTCTAGAATTCCTACGTACCGCCTAATGCGCTTGTTAAGATTTATATTTATGCTGATTTTGGCTAACGCCGCCGAGGTCACTACAATTTACGGGTACCGGATATATCTCGTTGTGAATCTGATCAAATATTAATCCTCATGACCTTGACCCATCAACTGTGTTCCGCTGGGCTTTATTGACGGGCGTCTTTTTCGTTGTCGTAGTCATGGCTGACCCGCGCTTGCGCCAGTTAACGATCAAGGGCAATATTGTTAAGCGGTATTGTCTAGTGGTCTTTTGTTAATTGTGTATTAGCATCGCGAAGGACCGATTGAAATATGAAGAAGAGCTTGCAGGCCTCATTAATTCCCAAAAAGAACTTGAAGTGTCCGGTGCAGATGCGTACGCCATAAAAAAGGCGGTTAGAGGTGACGCTTCGTGACTATTTCTGCAGGTGGAGTTGGTTGATGAGACCCGTATGATGATCTCCGACTGTAATCAAAGGTTAACCAAGGCCGTTGCTGACTTGGAACTTGTCATTCAGGAGAGCGAAGGGGAACTGAGTGAATCGCAGGAATTCCAGAACGCAAAAGCCATCCACCAGGAGGTGTCTGCAGGTGACAATTAGGCCTGTGTATTCTGAGGGCATTTCCAAGAACTCCCTTTTTATTACAAAATAAATTGTTATCCATAGTTATCCACCTTTTCCTTCCCGCGCGCGCCTTTGCTTATTCCCAAGAGCAATCACCGTATTGACCAGAGAGGTTTTGTTTCTCTCTTTTGTATCGTTTCCGGCTCGCGATAGGCAGCCTAAGATTTATACTAACCCTTGATAGGCTCATAATGGGGAACTATTCACTAAGTTTTTGCTTAATTAAGGTTGAGCGCACGATTGCCAAATAACATCGACCAGGATTGAATTGTGTTGATTAATTAATTCCCGGCTACCGATCCGCTTCCTTGGGTTATGACATTCAATTTTCCCTCTTTGGGCAGTTGCGTACATCCGAGGTCTATTTCCACATGGGAATAGATACTATATAGAGTTCCTAGCCTTCCGTCAGTTGTGTACGTGCTAGAGTTGTCCCCATGAAGTCTCCCATTTCTTTGGTTTAGGGTATTGTTGACTTCAGTTGAAGTATGCCACTTAAGTTAACAGTCAAGCGTCCGCACCACTATCCGCCTTCGTTGTATTTCCGTATAGTAATTGGTAGACGAGGAAACTGTCTCCTGTGCAGTCTGCGGTCTTAATGCGTAAGTGCAGGCTCTGATCCACCAACCCCCCGCCTCATACTGTTCCTTAAACATAGTTTTCATTGATATTTAGCCGCGTCCATTGCCTTTCAGGTTTCGTTATCCCGAGCTGTCTGATTTGCATGTTTCCTCACTGCCGTAAATTAAAGCGGGCCTGTTAATGCCCAATTGTCTTGGATGGCGTCATGCGCGGTTTGACCTACGTACTCTTTAACGTGATTTCATCACAGGACTCGCTTGAGCTTGGTAACGCTGTATACTAGTCAATAATGCCGAATCCCACGCAGGTCGGGTTGCTTTCGGCCATGTTCGCACTTGTGTTTAAACTGTCATAAGTGTCGCACCCCCGAGTTTATAACTGTTTTAAGTTCTCTGAACCGGTTCATTGTAATTTTTCAGCAATTGCTGTTTTTTGAGTTTCCGAGGGCCGTATATACAGAGAGGATCTCTGTAACTTTGGGACCGCATAAGGTTAATTATATAGTTATTGTCTGTGGCCCCCCACACCATTGCGTTCCCAATCATTACACTGGTGGGGTGTTCGTTGTGTCCACTTTTTCTGCGCACACTGGCCCATAGGGTTAGCTAGCATTGGCTTGCATTTCCTTTGAAATAGGATAGGAGGACCGCTTGGTAACTGAGTTTGATCAAGGATTTTGATGAGCTAGTCTATCCATTTACCAACATATAGGCTTTGCATATGACGTCCCGAGTGTCGTTTGAAGTGCAACAGGGTCGGTTTAATGCGTTTATTCGGCGGTTGTGGGTTGTCATTAGACGTGTTTTCGCACTGTTGGATTGGGGACTGGGTATCCACTCTAAGGCTAGGCTGAGGACTGGTGGAGCAAGTCTGTACTTAATTCACGAACCTTAGCAATGCAGTGTTTCCAGTCACGACTATGCTTCTACTAGGCCGCTCGCGACGTCCGAGGCATCAGCCACTTGTTTAAACGTCAAATATGCGAAATTTCCAGGTCGGAAGGAAGAAATACTCATCCCATGATGGAACTATTCGTGTGCCAGCGCTCCAGAACCTAACCATGCGGCCGTTTACCCGGCGCAGTGTGAGCATCTATAGGTGCTGCCGTCTCGGGCCCAGGTGTCACCGGCAACTATGGTCATAGTGGTGTTGCAGAGTTCTGGGTGATCAGCTCAAAGCTTTATTACTTCACTGAAAACAGGTGTGGCCTAGGAGCCCTTGCGACAACATGGTTAGTGGCACAGTGGTTGTGATGTGTATCGTCAGAATGCAAAACTGATGATGTGCCGAGGTAGTATTATACAGCAGGTTACAGGCATTAAACCACTGTTTAAGCGCATAACTATGCCGTTAATATGATCGAAGTACCAGAAAGAGAAAATGCGATGCACCCATTATGCTAACATCTGGCAACTTTGGAGGAAAAAACTATTGTGTGGACGATGACTGTTGCGAGAAGCACTTGCGTACCCGATACTCGAGTTGTAACCACAGTCAAAACTTAGCGATTGCGTGTTTGTCTTCACACGGCGTGCTGGTCCCATGTTCGCGTCCCAGGGGAGCTAGGCTGCGACTCAAGCTACACGCCGTTGGCCTGCAAATAAAAGTATGTTGTCCGTCTCAACTGTTCTGCTACAGTTTAGCTGTCGCCGGAAACACTGCCGCGCTGGCATAAATGGCGGATGCGTATGGACCGCCTTTTGCTACGGGACTAATTGTGCTGTCCAACACATTGGGGGTACCAGGCCGTGACAGGCATTGTCGCATTGTCTAGATACTTGGTAAAACGATCTAACCGCGTTAGCTGTACTTGCGAAGGCCCGAGCTTCATACATTTGCGTCAAGAGACCACGGGCCTGGCACATTGTGACATCAACGCATCCTGGGGTAAGACTGCACGGGGCTCAGTGCAGTGTTAGGTTTGTCGTATTTAGTTTTTTAATCTGGCTCCCACAAGTTCCTTGAGTATCAAATTCGTTGGATATGGCATTTTAAAATTGGTTTCAGTCGTGGCAGTTATGCTTTCGGATGTAATTACTCTCTTCTTTGTTCCAACTCTCCTTGCTTCGATCTGATGCACGCGCTGTAATGACGCGCGAACTGACGCAAACCTTAACCGTACAGATTCCCATTTAAGGTTTTAGTTTTATTACCCAGATAGGCTTTACTTTTCACTTTCAACCTGTTCTGTCTCAATCGCCAGCAGCTGGACGACGATGTTTTCAGTTAGATATGGGGTCGAAGTTTTGAATTTAATCTCGCATGCTTAAAGCCTAAATGACTGAGTAAGTATTATCACAAATGAGTGTAGTTTGCAGTCATAAGAAGCTATCAACTCCAACCCACGCCCAATTCCCTAGAGTGTCCTCCAAGTTGGCTATGCTGTTATACCGTGTAACTGCTGCCACGTAATAGGGTTTAATATAGATGGGGATGTTGGACTTTATTGCCTTCGTTCCGGTTGAAGCTGGTGCACCGAATCGAGCCTAACCGCTTAACGTATGTCTACTCGAGCCGAGCTTGGCGTGGCGTAAGGCCTGCTGAGTTCCTGGGCAGTAGGACGAGCTTTCTAAACTTAGGTTTTCTTCGGAAGAGCGGTTTAACGACATCAGTCATCTCCCATCATGATTGGCTGCTTTGACCTTGGTTTCCTCAGTCTACCACCTGCACCCACAGTTTTTCCAGAATGCTTGACGACTTCTTGTGTACGTATGTCCTTCGTTTCCTTCATTGGATACATGCAAACAAAGTCGTCCGAAAATGTTATTTGTCAAAATTCGCTAATTTTGTCTAGAGTTCCGACAAAATCCTAAGGAGTATGTAATTTTTTGTCTTAAAATCTCCTTCAGGATACTTGTATTTTGTAGGAGCGGGCATCCGCTTTTTAAATCCAAAAACAATTTTTACTACCTCGGTGTAAGTAACACGTGTTTGTAAGCCCAAAACGACCACAACGACGCCAACCTAGGAAGCATGTAACTCCGTCTGCCAGCTATACGAATCATGTCATCAATCCGCACCATTTCGTTGTCTGTCCAATAAACTGCATCTGACTCTGTGTCGACAGAGTACTTTTCGTCGACAACTGTATAGTTGAGTTCCACTCTTGTCTCGCAAGAAGTACGATTATGTGACCATAGATCAGTCAGCCAGATGACACAGTAAGGATTCGACTTGGCTGTCAACCCGACCGGCGCAGACAACGATGTCCACTGGATGCGTCACGTGGTGGACACAGGATGGTGACGTGCGCGTGAATTAGTTCATAGTTACAGGTTTTCTCACAAGAGAGGGGTCACGCGGATCCCATCTGCGTGGTAGTTCCACAGGAGTCGCACTAAGAAGGAGCCGTCGTAGATGGTCTCCCCTTCCTGAAGGGACCGAACTCTCCTGTCAGTTAGCAACCTTCCGAGCCGCGACTTTTGGCGCATCGTGATAGATCCAAGCACTTCAGAGTGTCCATGGTTAGGAATGAACTGAAGGTGCCGTGAGGATGGATTCTTCGCTCTCCCCTCCTTCGTGCATCGGTTCACTATTTGAGTCAGTCGGTTGGCTGGGCTCAGTCAGTTGGGATTGAATGCAAGTAGCCGACAGAACTCAGTTGCCCGTTTGCGCCTGTCACACATGACCTAGTTTATTGGCATGACACATCCCCTTTTAACAAGAAGGAGGCGGCTTGGATCTCACATGCTTAGAGAGTACCGGGGAAAATTCTCTTTACCTCCGATTCCGAGTGCCTTATATACATGCAGTGAGTGACCGGTCTCATGTAATGTTTGACAAAATTCTAAAACGCGTTTTCGATTAAGAATGAGTACTCAGGTAGAGTTGTAGTATTAATTATCAGGCGGCATAATCCCATGATATTTCAGGCTTACCAGAATACCGGCTTTCGAATGCACTTCTTTTCGACCTGTAGAAACTGCACTCGGCAAAAAATGTCTATTTAGGCAGTATGCAATCTCGACATTAATCTTCTATGAGATTGTAGATCCAAATATATGTTTTGAAAAAATTCACAAACTATGCTTCCTTTTACTCATTTGGTAGCAAATTATGTCATATTTGTAATTCACAATCGAAGAAAGGGCATATTTGTGTTTGGAAAAAGTTTTCCAATACCCGAATAACTTTAAGCCAGATCAGCCGCTGCATTAGAGTTTAGCGATTTAAGCCTACAAGGTGCCTGCTTTCCGCCGAAGAGAAGTTTTACATTCCTCTGTGCCTTTAAGAAGATACCATGTAGATTTCACAAAATTTAGCAATGGATATGGGATATGTCGTATACTTCATGAGGAGCATTAATAAACGGACGGGTACGTTGTTGTATGAATGGACATTGCACGGTCTTGAAAAACCTCATGCTTAAAACTTTTTTAAAATCGAAAGGTACTCTCATTGAGTGTAAAATGTGAAGGTGATGTGCTGTCCTACTAAATGGGTGAAAGGTTTATTAAGAACGGTAAGGATAAGGTGTGCGAGTCATAACGGTACTCGGGAGGAGTGAAGTGTCAAACGGACCAGGAACCGCGGAATCAGATCACGCAATCAACGAAAGAAACCTGAGCTGACCGCCGTTCATTCAGACGTCGTCCTCAGCCACCTCGTCGGTGGTTGGCTCCTGGGTCTCTACAACGGGTTAGACCAGATCGGATGAGGGAGAATAAAATAGTAAAGAATCGGTCCACAGTGGATTTTTGTCACTCCACTCCCTCCTGTAGGACCGATTTCCCAACGGCAAGAGGTCCAGAAATGGAGACTTCGATCGGAATGCCCTAACCGCCTTCAGATGGGGCTTCCACAGTGCGAGAAACCCATGGGGACAGCAAACCAATCAGAGGAGAGGGCATGGCAGTCGCCGGAGAAGGGTTCGAACGGGATGTTTCAAATGGAGAGGGAGAAAGTGGGGAAGGGTAGATGGGAAACTCCGACAGCTCGGCAGATGGGAGCGCAGGCAACTCCGTACAGACGAAACTGCCCGAGGTATCATCCGAGGACTATGACTAAGATTGTTAGAGGGGGCTGCGAGGGTGAGACCGTCGGAATCGTCAGAGGCTCGGAGGACACAAAAAGCCCTAAAAGGAACTTCCACCACAGCGGAAGGCCCTATTTAATGAGTCGAAAACATATTGGATGGCCCAGGTGGCTGCCTATCCTGATACTTTGGCGCACGACGGTCATAATACTCTTTCTGTCACTGGTGAGCCGCGGCAATACAAGTGCGAGCAGGTTCATGTGTGCTATGATGGGTGGCTCGGAGTTCTCGAACAAACTCCGTGAGGCTGGTCCTGCTACGGAATTTGGAAGGGACAAGATGTGGCTAGTGGAGGACGTATCTCGCGGCCATTCACAAGGACAAAAAGCGTATGGCCCGTTGACGAATGATTGGCCGATCGAAAGGCGAGAAGACGCCTAGAAAGAGCTGGAGAAACTGTTAAACGATTGAATTATCCCTTAGAGTGTCCGTTTCTTCCGCTTAACTTTCCAATTGCCCTGAGGGTGCCATAGGGTAGAGCGAGATTTACGAATGTGGAGGAGTTTGCAGAGTTCTTGCTTTAGTCGAAAATCAGTTTGGGCCCCACGATCTGAATGAATCTGTCCAGGCACGCCATGACGGTAGATCCACCCATTAAGGTTGGCCTTAGTCACCGTGATGACAGCTTGTGGTGCAGTGTTCGATACCACTCAGCGGAAAAGTCGACAAGAACCAGGATATAGCCATTTCTGAGGTGGGAGGGAGGGCGTAGGACCCATCAAGTCGACACCGACAACTATTGGGATAGCCTGTCTGTAGGGGTTGTAATGGTGCGCGGTGGGTGGGTTAGGGGTTTTGAACTTCAGCGCATACAGGGCGAGTGTTGCAAATGTCCTGTTTAACCCGACGTTGATTCGGTCACCAGAAACGCTGTCTCGTGACACTGTACGAGACTGATCGGCCTGACCCATGTCAGTATGAAGACGGGACAGTATGGGAATGGATTGTATTATAAGGCAGAACCAGCCGACGCGAATCGTTACAATATTGAAGGTATAGCACGTTATCACATAGGTAAAACCAATGGATTGGTGTGCGCCCATTCCTGAGTGAATAAATACCCGATATGCAGCTAGGGAGAATGGCGGGTGGCGAGGCACAAATGAAATTCGCTTCGACGAAATGCTTATGACCCACCTGCTAGACCTCAGTGTTGAGCCAGCTGCGCCAGGTGTGTCTGTGCGCATGTTTGTGTTTCCGGTCCCAGCTGGTGGTCGGGGTTATGATTGACTGGATGAAGGCTAACAAGTTCGAAACAGTCCTGTATCAAGCTATCCCCCAGATTCTGTCAGGCCGCATACGTACAGGTACCATCTCTGTAGTCGCGGCGGGTAATTGCTATTAGTCTGTATGTCTCTCGTCGGGGGGCGGCGTTTCGATGTTGGTGGCCATCAACTGCATTCATATTGACCGTAGTCGTCGCTCTGGGTCGTAAGTCCTATTCGCGTCCCTCTGAAGTTCCTGTCTACCGGGACAGTGGTTTATGAAGCAGTATCGCTGACTGCGCCTTTGTCGGGCCTGAATTGTGGTGGCTACGTATGTGTTCGTCTTAGTTTCTCCCGTGTTTGAATGCACGCTTGGCCTAGCTTCTCCTTTGCTCTTTAGTTCGTTGGACCGCATCCGGAAGGGTGGCTAGGTTTCCGGAGGAGCGCCAAGGGTTAATTGAGGTAATCTCCGCGTGTATACCAGCGCGCGCCAGACTTTTGGCTGTTATGTCACCGGACTTTTGCGTGACTTGGACTGCCTGCCGCACCTGACGAAGTTACGAGGGTATCCGTCGGCAATTAAGAGGCCCTGAGAGTAGCGGAGTTCTTTTGCCTCCGGCTCGCTGCCGTGTGTCTCCGCCACGTCTGGATAACCTCGGATTTGAACCCCAGAATCTTTGATTGTTGAACACACACTCCTTTCGCTTCCCGAAGGAAACAATGCCCGAGAATATAGAGATTACAAACAGGCAACTACTTACAGGGTCGCATGGGAACCAAAGGATCAATAGCTAATGCTCTACGACAAATACGCGGGAGTCTGAGCCAGCGATTCTTTAAAAACTTAGTTTCGCTCCCCTCTACCTGCTGGATCTCTGACTAGCGCCCTGTAGGAGAGACAAAAATGCATACTACACGACTGGTCCACAGATTCTGTCCAAGCGATGAGTCATCAGCACCTCCGAACCAACTTCCGTGCCTTCTGTCTACCAGTGTCAGCCGTGATAAGTTGGGTAGTATGCATGTGGGAACGGTAGTCAATCCATTTGCTTCGTTCACCATTCCAAACTGGTTGGAAGGGGGCCGCTGAAGTACAATTACCTCTGCACCCCATTCGGAACTTGTTTGCTCTGGGAAGCCTAGTGAATGGGTGTACGTCTAATCCCGCCATAATATGCAACACCTACCGGTTCACCACTGCTCACACAATAAGAGGCGTAACTTACTGATAACCTGCTCAGTGGCCTTTGTTTCTTCTGTCATTTATAATTACAGCTAACCACTAAGACCATTAAGACGAAATCTGCGCGACACCTGGTGTGGATTGCCTTGCGCAAAAACAGAGCACGAGGGCTTTTACGTGGGACCAGTTTGGTAGGTGAGGGGTTGTGACAGTCCGCTCCCACGATGTCCATCACCGTCACTTTTTCATGCGGCCTTTCCGTCTGTCTCACGCTCCCTGTTAATTCGCTGCGGAGACCACGCTGATGGGTTACAGGCGGACGGAACCCAGGCAGAGCAAAGGCGCATACACGCGCTGGAGGGCTACGGCTCACGACGACGGACACAGGCGACACGCCTTAAGAGACAGCTTGCGGCTACTGCTTGCTGAGCCTCTTATACGCTCGTTCACAATAGTAAAGCTTGTCCAACCTAATATGCCTTCCCTGACATGTGATTTGGGACTCCTCGTTTGTCGACTTATTGCACCTTCGTCAGGCTTACTAGCCAGTTGCAACGTCGAAACTCTGCGATTTTACTCTGAAACGAAATCTGCTAAATTCACTTTCGCCTAACGATTTGTACGTAGGTTCTGGTTGGCCTTCACGAAGACAATAACCGCAAGCTATGGAGAATATTGGTGAAACTGAGACTTTCCGTTATGGTTTGTTCACAATCGCCAGAACCGAGTACGCTGATTCATGCAAGCAGAGTTCAGGATCGGGACCTGACTTCCCCTGTACAGAGGAATCAACGTCTAGCCTAAAAGATGGGGTAGGGATCTGTATTGACATTTAAGTCCGTTTTGTTTTAATCACTTACAATAATCTTTTTAAAGAACTTGAAAACTTTGAATAAGTCATAGAACAAGCGCGTACAGTTTTTCCTGCTGACGACTTTGTTCTTATTTACTAGCTCGCGACTGTTGGGATACTGCTATCTTCGTTTCCTGGATAGCTTACTCACTGTGCCCAACTAATGGGTTTATCACTTACAGGTCTACGCTGTGCTGTATGTTCTTCATTCCGTCAGGTTTCATTGCTGGGCCGTACGACCTACACCAATATTTGTGGTCGAACTCTGAAACAAAGGTGCCTTTTGGGGGGTTCTTATCCGTTGATAGACAAGTTCACTGAAAACGTCTGTTTCTCGGTCCTCCCTAAGCATCGCAATTGGAGAACGGGGGACGAGGGTTCGTTCTGCGCAAAAACTGACGTCTGTCCTGCACTCCTCGTTAAGAAATACCCAGAGTACTCATCACAAAGGTTTTTCACCTCTCTGGAAGATTCGTCAATTCCGGGATATGAAAAATTTAAAATTCACTTTAGCCAGGGTTGAGATGATTCATTCTGTCCGGCAAGCCAAGCAAATAGTTTTTACTCCGAATAATATGCTGTTTCCTGAAATTTCACTGAAATATACTGAATACTGTTATGGCTGTTACTGAGGTAATTTGCTTCATAAACTTCTGCTTTTTGGGAAGGCTGAGCATCCTATGTACAAATGGTTGATATTAAAATGTAATTCGATGGAAGAGTGTTATGCATAGAGAGCAGATGCAGAGGTTTATCCACGTTTTATGTTGTCGCCAGTGGATGTATCCTTACATGTATTCATCAATTACTGGTTTGTCATCTTTCCCACCAGCAAATGCAACCTTCCCCTCAGATTTCTCATCATCATCATAATCATCATCTTCTTCAGCATCACTTTCGTCTGCCTGTTTGGGTCCACCCTTGTACCGGAATTTGCAAACCAAGAGGAATGATACAGCGAGTACCACGTATACGAGCAGTGCGATGCCAGCAATGAGGAACTTTCCGTTGTACCTAAAATTGAGGAAAATGGGTATTTTTAGTTGAGTCCTCCAAAAATGCTCACTTCTAAGTTCTGTCCTACCTTAAACGAGATGGGGAAGAGTTCTGTTGAGACGTGAAATGATGGTTCCTTGGTAATATCGGCCCACACTTAATTTTGTGATTTCATTTTGAATAAGCAGTTAAGTTACACGCTCATCTAGCATAAACAGGTCGTCTACTTTACAAAGCTTTATCGTAACTGCTTAAGGCAAAGGAAAGAGTCTTTATCAGCAGCCAGCTATCTGTTTGCCCATACCAAGATGACCCAGTTGCATTTCCAAATGTAATGTTTATTGACGTTATGTGCTGTTTTATTTACTTCGACATCGGTCAGAATATCGCCTTGAATGTATCATCTCTTGCTCAGAAAATATTGAAAATACATGGGTCTTCTTAGACCTCCAGCAGACGCACACGCATTCGTAATCCACTAGGTGAAAGTACTGAACTAAAGCAGCATTTTTACAATGATTTACCATACTAACAACACAGGTATTAGCTAAAAGCCCATTGCAGTATCGGAATACTAGTACCCTTTTTTCAGTTACCAACCCTGACCTTGTCCCATGCAGAAACTCAGGTTTCCCCATATGGAACGCTATATACAATGCGTGACCGATCTGATGAAATGTTGGCCGAAATTCTGAGATGCGTTTTCGATACGGAAGGGTTACCTAGGTGGGGTCGTAATGTTGCTTATCAAGCGACATAATCCCATAGTATTTCAGACTCACCAGGATGTCGGCTTTTGAATGAACTTCTTTTCGACGTCTCTTAGAAGCCACACTTGGTAAAATGACTACTTAATTAGCATGTACTTTTCATATTGATTTTCGATAGTCATATAAATTCAGATATTTTTTATGGAAATTATGCACAAAAATATGCTTTATTTCACTTGTTTGGTAGAAAATAACATTGTCTTTACATCTTATACCCGAAGAAAGCGCATATCTAGGTCTTAAAAAAGTTTCTAATTGTGAGATTTAAAAGACCGTGCGATGTTTATACAGACGCCGTCGCACATCTCCGTCTATCGATGCTCCTCGTGAAACGTACAACAATGTCCACATCCATTGAAAAATTTTATGAACTCACCATGGTATCTTCCTGAAGGCATAGAGGAATATGTTATCTTTTATGTGAAAAGCATGCGTCTTGTAGACTGGAATCATTAAATGGTAATGCAACGGCTGATCTGTCCCAAAATTATTGAGGAATAGAGAAAAATTTTCAGAACCTAAATATACGCTTTCTTCGGGTATAAAATGTAAGGACAATGTTATTTTCTACCAAACGAGCAAGGGAAAGTATATTTTGTGCATGTATATTTGAGTTTATGAGACCATCGAAAATCAATGTGAAAAATGCATTTTACTGAAGTAATCATTTTACCGAGTGTAGCTTCTATGGGAGGTCGAAAAGAAGTACATTTAAAAGCCGACATCCTGCGAGTCCGAAATACTATGGGAGTATGTCGCTTGATGAGCAACATTACAACCCCACCTAGGTAATCCTTCCTAATCGAAAACGCATTTTAGAATTTCGGCCAACATTTTGTCAGATCGGCCACCGCACTGTAGCAAACGCAGACGGCTACATAACTCATTGCTAGCTCGTTTTCCTATTACGCCATGGTGGTGCGACATAGGAGACCTCAGTCTTTGCCTGGAGAACACTACGCAAGTGTTCTATTGGGCCAAATTTTAATCACTTACAGTAGTTCTGCTTAGTGCTTAGGCTAATATTCTGGTGACGCCGAAGTTAGTTATTTGGAGACAGACCTCAGATGCGCCTGCACGTACAGTTTTATTGCTGAACATTTCACAAGCGATCTCTCCTATCATCAAATCGTAAAGACTGAGAAAAATGCATTTGTTTATCTGTGTATTTGCGAGGATTGCCTCAGGAGAAAGTTAAGATCACAGGGTTAATGAGAGTTTGAAGTCCGTTTTATTTTAAGACGAACCAGGATGGTTGCGTTGTGGGTAGCAACCCATGACACCAATAATCCCAGCGTACGTCCAATTAAAATTACTCAGCTTTCAACTCATTTTCACTATTTATGGTCGAGCCAATTTAGATTGTCTGAAACATTTTGGATTTAACAGCCATATGAAACCGATGAAAGCTAGTTTTCGTGGCTTTTTTGACTACATTGAGAGATTACCTCTCTCCTACTCATTCAGTTGTAAGCCTATGGCCGTAGACCTATTTCGGTCCTATACGCCGAGAAGGCATGAATGTGATGGGCTATTGAGAGCAAATAAGAGAAAAACAGTCATCTGGACAGGAAAGCAAGAACGGATGGCAAAACACGAACTCACCGTTCGATACCCCCTTGATTCATGGCGGGTACGTTGGTGTAAAGCCCCAATCCCCAACGCAAATAATACCAAGCGTAGAGGGTATTATTATTGGGGACTTTTGCAAGAGCCGCGCATACATACATTCCGACGACGGCTTCGGGAACATTCATGTCATTCTTATTGATGATGAGTGAATAGTTATTGTCCTTTGATTGCACACTCCAGCCTTCCTTAGATTCGCCTGGACTTAAATGGAGGTATGCGGAACTTTCCGGTGTAATCCAATTTACTTTTACAATGCTGTCTAGTGCGTTGAAAGGGTAGAAGCTTGCGTCGTAGCAGGGTAGATTGATGGGGTTTCCGATATTTTGCACAACCCACTGGACAGTGTTCCACTGGGGAAAGTCTGGATGCATTTGAGCCCTTGCCACAACTATGAAGGATGTACCAAATAACAGCACCCATGGAAACATTTCTCGAGAGATCCTTCTAGTGTAGGAAATAGGAAAATGGGACTATTAGCAGTAGGAAAATCCCATCAGTGACCGTAAATAGAAGTTAACGGTCATACATATTAGCGAAAAATTGACTCAGGTGCGTCGGTGGTGGTTGGACTATTAGGTTTTTATGAAGTACCCGTTGGGTTGACACCTTAATGAAATTTCAGGTATCTGTCTGTTTAAATCAAGAATGCCTTGATTGCACGTCAGTGGACAACATACCACCCAGCGGGAAATTTTGAACTCAGGAAAAAATCGACTTAGCTGAGTAGTATTCGGCAGCATTTCTCATTGCACTGCTAGCTATGAGAGCTGGGCACATTTTTCAACCTCTTCTTTGCACTGCTCGATGATTTTTGTTGTCTTTAAAGTAACCAGCTTCAGTAGGGAGATACAATGACTTAAAAACCACAAAACATTGGCTGTTATTACATCCTTAATGCTTACTATTAGATTGTCTTTGAATTAACCTGTGAAGAAGTTTGATATCGCCTTATTTAGCAATAGCTGTCTCGCTAGTATGCTCCCAATCCAAAGGCATTACATCGTACGTTGTGTGATATTGGACGATAAAGTAGGCCAGATGATTAGTTATCAGGCGAAGGAGTTGTAATCTTTGTACTAGATCGAAGTTTTATTTTTATGAGGCTGAAAGTGAGTCTTGCCAAGGTTCTAATGTGTTTTATAATAGTCTATTTTTTTCTTTCACCATGAAGCTCCGAGTCTGACAGAGCAGCTCCGTGGACTGTCTGCCCTGTGTACTTATGCATATCTCTAGCTCCGAATGATGGGCGGGCTTGTGGTCGATTGAGTGATTGTCGAATGAGCAAGAGACAGATCGGTGTCAATTTGCATCGCTTTCGTCTCCCCTCTGCTATCATAGCTTGGCCGACTTCGCCCTCGTAGGTGGTTGCCTATTCATGACCCCTATCACCCGTAAAAAGTTTGTTTGTCTCGAGAAGTCAGTGAATCGGTGTGCGCCCATTCCTGAGTGAATAAATACCCTAGCTGCAGCGACAGAGAATGACAGGTGGCGAGGCAGTGATGAACTTCGGTTCGATGAAGTGCTTATGACCCATCTGGTAGACTCCAGTGGTGGAGCAACTGAGCCAGGGCGTTTTTGCGCATGTTTATGCTTCCTGTCCCAGCTGGTGGCCAGGGTTGTGATTGGCTGAAGGAAGGCAAGCAAACCCGAAACAGTCCTGTATTAATCTGCCTCCAGACTCTGTCGTCTACCCTCTGATATGTACGGGCCCTACTCGTTCCGTTATGCCATGGGGCTCATGCCGGAACCCTCGAAGGCAGTCGCACAGCGACTAGTAGTGCAAGTAAATGAGATGGTACCGACAAAGACAAGGGAGGCCGGTATGGCCATTTCTGGCTTACTAGCCGTCATCAGCCGGTCATACCCAACCCCAAGTGTGGATCACTTGAGATTCAAACCCAGGGTCTTTGGTCATGGCTAATAAGCCAGAAATAGTCATTCCGGTCTCCCTTGTCTTGGTCCGCACTATCTCATATATATGTCCTTCTGAAGTGAAATTTATAAAAATGTCAAGCAGGTGTGTGACCCTCATTGTTGCGGTTGAGGTCCCACTCGATCTCTCTGCGTCTGACCTGTTGCACTCTTAGTGAGCTGTTTACGTATTATATGGGGTATGTGTCCTATGGTACAACTTTCCAATTATTCATGAAATGAACTCGGCTGTTTTTTTAAATGAAAACCTGACTTCTCTCCCTCTTTGGGACTGTTCTTGAAACTACTAGACCAGCATGTTAACGCCCGCTTGTCATTAGCCTCTGATTATTTGCTGGTTTTTACAAATTCAAGACCTGTCCCATTTCCAGTTCTTCAAATGTACATTCCTGAAGGTGTGAACGAGATAATTTCAAAACCTTGAAGAAAACCCTCTCATCACTTTTTCGTTCCACCTGCTGAATTGGGAACTGTACAATAATTCAGCGTTCCAAGTACTCTCCTGTGCCTATGCAGCAGTGCATCTTAAAATGCTAAAACTTAGAGAGACTGTGAATATATCGGTTAGCATATCCATGAGTGGCGTAGTCCCGTGTTCTTTTACATTCTTGATTTCTGGCTGTTAATGCTGAGTGAGTGCATCTGGTGCCATGTCTCACTTCAGTGGTAGCATGAGGTGATCTATGTTAGATTAAAGGCCTCATTTCCATATTTGTGGCATAAGCATGAGCTAGTCTTGTGTGCACTGATGTCCTCTTTTTGCCAAAGTTAAAATTATTATTTTATTAAAATTCTTCCATAAGGAACCACTTTGAAATAATCGCACAATGATAAAGGAACGATAACCCACCTGGCACAAATTCGCAAAGTTCTGGGAGATGACAACGTTCTCTAGGTGTTATATACCCTCCAGTTCTGATGGAAAGTACAGAACATTTGATATGCCAAGTTGTCTGAGTCAGCATTCTTCTCGCGTCTCTCTTCGGGCTGAACTTCGTTAGAGCGATGATGGTAGTTGGCGGGGGGGGGGGAGGGGCGACAATGGTTAATCGTTACTGCTACTGGTTTCTTGCACGTTTCGAGAGAGGCTTCGCTTGCTGCATACCTTTATGTCATCTTAAAGCAGTTCTATTCTCTTTGAAGGCGCTCTGGATCTACTTAGGGACAGAATAGAAGGTACAGAGAAAGCCTGACGAGACATTTCACACTTCAGTTTACCGCAAGGAAACCTACGCGGAAATTCTCTCAAAAAACGGAGTGCAGTGAACAGCCTCCTGAACCCAGCAAGAACTCACTGCTCTGACAACGAGACCTACCAAAGAGAACTGAATTATTTGTTTAAACTGTTTTCTCAGAATGGGTATCCTAGATATTTTCTACACCGATGCATAAGACGAATAAGTTAAAATAAAAAGACAAGGAACTAGACTGTTCCGATCAGGCGCCCAATCCAAAAAACTGGCGAACACTTCCGTACATTAAGAATGTGTCCGAACTAATTAGAAGACACCTGAGGGAGCACAAACTACATTGGCGCACGGACCGACGACTAAAATAGGGATAGGGTTGGTTATTTAGATAAGAAAGTCGTCAGTAAGATACCATTCGACATCTGTAATGCGGTTCACTGTGGTCAAACTGGGAAATCGGCCTCTACACGAACATGAACTTTCAGTAAAAAGGCTAGACCACATGTCCCAAGTTGCCATGCATACGCCGGGAAACGACACAGCTTTGTCTGGGATAAGACTCGCATTGTAGGTGCCTGATCATCTAAGAAAGGCCGAGAATTTTTAGAGGCCATTCATACTGATAACTCATCTATCAATCCACACGTAGAATTGGATGCTGTGTACAACAACCTCGAGGGAAAATGGAAAAGACGTTGGCCGACCAGAAAATTACGCCAACAGGAGGGACAGGACAAAATCGACTTTTAGGCATGTTTAAATGTTAACTGTTTTGCACTCTTCACGTCTGAGGACCATTTGGGAGATCAAAATCGGAAATTAGCAATTAAATTTGTTTATCTTTCCTAAAGGGCTTATTTCTTCGAATTATGCTTCTAAGGATGCCTGTTTTCAAATTCATACGTATGAATTTTAATCGCCTGGTTTTGGCAGAAGATATATATATATCTCTATATGCAGAATGGCCTTACCGACAAAGACAAGGGAGACTGAAATGGCCATTTCTGGCTTATTAGCCGTCGTCGATCGGTGAGCGCCCCCTACCATATATATACATCACTCGGAAGATATGTATATATATATATATATTTCGAAATAAATAAGTCCTTCGGGAAGATAACAAAATTCATTACGCATATTTTGGACTTTAGTTCCCCAAGTCGTCCTCAGACGTGATGTAAGTGTGAAAAACAGTTCAAATTTAAACATGCCTAAAAATCGATTTTGCCTTTTCACTCCCGCCAGT